ATCGGTCGCTTTGTATCGATTGAAGTATACTTTTTTGTGTAAACATAGATGTGATGTGTGCGAATAAATTATGATAAAATTTTGGCTTTTTCAACTTTTTTTTATTGCTACTGGATTTCATGATCTTCATGTAATAATCGGTATATTATTTTTTTTGTTTGTTTTACACGCTTAAATTCACTTCATTTTTCTTCTTATCATCATTTCGGATTCGAGGCAAGAGCTTGATATTGATTTTGTAGACGTTGTTTGATTATTTTTATATATTTCAATTTACTGATGAAGATACTAAATTTTAATTATTAATACATTAAAATTTATTTATATTATTGCAGAGTAGTGTTTAATTATACAAAGTCTTGGTATTTTAATCAATTATTTATTAGGCACGATGCACTGGACGGTTTTACAAGATTCGGGAGAGAGCTAGACAAAAAAAATTAGAAAAGAACTATCTCTTTGACAACTATTGCCAGCTTAAATAAACCCACATTTAATGGTAGTATTTAAATAAAGTATTACATTGTATTACATTGTATTTTAACATATATATTTTAATATCCATTTAACTTCTAAAATTATTATATAATCATTAAATAATTTAAATAATTATTATATTTATTATTTATTTTTATTCTACTTTTATTATATTATATATTAACATTCATAAGTAAAATTAGATTAATTGTCTATTAAATATTTTTATTTGTATACAACTAAATAATTTCATATTTTGATTTTTAATAATTTTTATTAAAATTCGTAAAGCCCTTTTTTGGTCTTACTATAAAAAAAATTAAATTATTAAATAAATTAATTTTATCTAAACAATAATCTTTTATAATCTCTCAATCATCTATTTATTTTCTATTTTATAAAATCAATAAATATACTCCTTTGTTATAAAAAATTTTCTACTATTTAATACATAATAAATAAAAAAATAGTAAATCATTATAAACTAATCCTTTTAAATATCATGCTATACATTATAAATATCACTATAAATTTTTCTTTATTATATCATTAATTTTCTAATTCTATCAAAATCTATTATTTTCTTTTATTCTTTATCTTTTAATCCAAATTTTTAATAACCTTCGAATTTTACTTTCATAATCCAATGTCCCTTTATTTTAAACTATCATATCTCTTTCCTTTTTTTATATAAATAAAATAATTTATAATAATTTTATATTTTATTATAGTCAATCTATTATTTTCTTTTCTTATCTTAATTTTTACGTCTACTTCTCTATTACTGCTCTTAAACAATTTATTTGTTTTTTAAAACTTAATCATCAAAAGATCATTAAAAATGCTAAATAAATTAATATAATTAATTTTTCCTCTTATATATATTGTTTTTAATTATAATTATACATATAAAACTAAATTATAATATAAATAAAAACAACTACTATAACATAAAAAATTTTAATTCTAATTCTAATTATTTTCCTTTGTTCTTTTGTCCCTTATTATAAACTAAAAATTTAAATTTATTTTAAATCATTTAAAAATTATATTATTAGATTTTACTTACTTATTATTCTTCTATACTTGTTTTAATTTATATAAGTATAAAAAAATTACAATTTAATTTCCAATTTAAAAAATTTAATTTAAATTAATAATAAATAATACTCTCTTTAATATATTTATTATTCTTTTTTTTAATAATTTCTTCTATTTTATTTTTTTAAATGTTTTATTCTCAAAAAAGGATTCGAGTCCGGTAATCAGATCAATTTTTTTCACAGAGTCCAGCTCGAAGGATCATCGACCGAGTCCGCTAATCAGGAGCACCAAGAACACTTTGAGCAAAAAGCAAAGATAATGCATATAATGTATATTGTGCGTGCGTATGCGCGTCAATGTGTTATAGGTGCACTATAATGGAAATTTTTTTCACAGATGAGTCCAGCTCGAAGAATCATCGACCGAGTCCGGTAATCAGGAGCACCAAGAACACTTTGAGCAAAAACAAAGGTAATGCATATAATGTATGTTGTGCGTGCGTATGCGCGTCAATGTGTTAGGTATAGGTGCACTACAGTGGAAATTTTTTTCACAGATTCAGAATCCAGCTCGAAGGATCATCGATCGAGTCCAGAAATTACCGAGAATCGAAACACCTTGACTGAAAGCAAAGATATGTCACTATATTTTACGATAATGCATATAATGTATGTAGCTATTCGATGTATTTATGTCCTGTTTGGCAAATTATTGAAATCAGTTGAGAAATATATAGTTCTATATAGTTTTGATACTTTGCTGCTTAAGGGGTCTAAGTCACTATCATTCATTTATTATTTTTTTTTTCATTTCTTCTAAAATTAGACATACTTACATTTTTTTTTATTAGTACACTTGGCATCATTGATGTTTTCCCTTTCCCTTTTTTTCTTCAATCGGTCGCCTTGTATCGATTGAAGTATTAATTAGAGGAAAAAAATTAAAGTGGGAAGACATCAGTGACACTAAATGTACGTATAGTATATCAAAGGTATTTTTAAGAAGTATACTTTTTTGTGTAAATATAGATGTGATGTGTACGAATAAATTATGACAAAATTTTGGCTTTTTCGACGGTTGGCGCGTACACAGTTCTGATCGTTAGATCACTTGTGATGTATCTCCATAAACTTATCTTCATAAAGAGAAGCTGAAACATCAAGCCATTTTTTTCTTAATTTTATTCAAAAATTATTACTAAATATGTAAAAATTTGTTAATAAAATGAAAAATTTAAATTACATATTATAACTTTTAAATAAAAATCGTTTTTAAAAGAAAACGGCTCAATATTCCATACAGCTTTTCTTTACGAAGAGAATAAGTTGTCATCAAAATTAATTTAGATCTACAGGATACGCTAACTGTTGAAGTTGAAGCTTTGTCAGAGCTTGTACTTTGTGCGTGTAACACACACACACACACACACACACACACACAAAATATCTGATAATTATTGACATTGATCATATATAAAAGTAGAGTGAATCACACTGAGCAAAGAATTCTTCCATCATTTTCACAATAGTAATGAGTTATTAAAAATTGTCGAATAAATACATATATCTACCCAGCACATTGCAAGCGCGCAGCGAGATATAAACTATTCAATGTTCACGACTGCTAGAAGCGTGACGAAATGTTTAGAGATGCATTATGCCCTATTATCAAATGCCCTATCATTTGAAGATTTGAGTGCATTTTACTTAGTTGCTGTACTCTCAGCAACCAAGAACTCATAAAGTCTGTGTCATACTCCGAGTTGATAGTTACGATTTCCAATTGATGGTTCTATTTCAGTCACAATGCAATAATTCAATATGATTGAATTGATGATAATATTAGAACCGTCAATCAGGAAACAGTAGTCGGTAATCCGTAATCTGATACGGATTTAATCTTGTCAGTGCATCCGGCGGACACGATTCGGATACGAGTCGACGGATTTGACAATTTTTAATAATTAATAACTCATTATTAATTATAAAAATTGCAAAATGATATAGAATTTGTCTATTTAGTTTGATCCGCTTTACCATGAACACATTGTATTAATAATTATCAAACATCCTGTATAATATAATCAGAAATAAGATAAACTTTTGATATCATCAAATAAATATGTGTGTATGTATGTGAATGTGTATTGATTTGATGATACTTATGTATATAATTAATTTATATTAATCTTGTTTTAATTGGTTCGCTTTTTGTTAGGCAATTTCGATTTTGTTATTAACATTTTGTTATTAACTAACTTATTAACAATGTAAAATTCTTCCAATATGGAAACTAACTTCTGAGATTATTCAATTACTTAATATTAGTATTCAACACAATTTGAAGAGTAGCCTAAATTAATATTGACCATTGGGGAAATATTTATAAGTCATTATTCTAGGATATAAATTTACTTATTGTCTTGCACGACAGATTGTAAATAAACCTGATAGTTAATAAAAAATTTTCAATTTTAATTTTTTTAATTTCATTAACTTTAATTTTCTTAAGCCTATCCTCTTTATTTTTAATTTTTTAATAACTTTAATTCTTTTATTTTGTGTTTTAATTTTTTAGATTTTTAGCAGCAGTTGAGAGTATTTTTTTTAATATTTTTTATTTAATTGTTTTTATAACTTATGTTTAATATAACTCACTTTATTTTAATGTAATTTCGTTTTTAAATTAATTTCTAACTTTTTTTTATTTTATTTTTTATTTATTATTTTATTTTTTTTTGTTTCTTTAATCTTTTTTTAAATGTAGTTTTGCTTTTAAATTGACTTCTAATCTTTTCAAATTTATTTTTTTTTATTTAATTACTTTTTTATTAATGTTTTATCTTTTATAATTTGTGTTTAATATAACTCATTTTAAGCAACAGTCAGGAGTCTTTTTTTTAATTTAAAACCTTTATTATTTTAATATAACTTTGTTTTTAAATTGATTTCTAATCTTTCTTTAAATTAATTTTTTTCGATGACCTCATTTCATGTCTTATATATTACTAACGAAACGGATATTAACAACAGTTGCACATTAAATTTTTATCGGGGTAACAAACTTTTTTTATCAAAATTATAATCTGCGACTGATAATTAGTTAAAGGTGAGTGAGATTAATAATATTGATATAAGGAATTTGTAAATTACTAAAATAACTTGTTTCTTAAGTTCTGGAAAGAAAATCTCAATATTTTCATACTTCATACTTTATACTTCAACGTTTCAACAACAAAAATTCTGATTTCTTGCTTGAACAATACAATAAGTGTAAAAAAATAAATACACATTTTTTCAAGATGTAATATTCCGTTACTTATAAAAAATTGAAAATAGTGTATATGTTCTTTTCAAGCAACAGTACCACACATTTTTTGTAATAATATTTTCCAGAATTTCTGCATCCTTTAAAAACTACCTTATGCCATTAAAATCTTTAATCCTAAAATCTAATTATAATCATTAACATATTTGTAGGAACAGCGCACTGAAGTCATGAATAATCATGTCTCTTGCAAGTTCGAAGATATTTCTATACCCTACGGTTGTACTGTATGCTCTAATTGGCTTAACAATATGCCAATATACTCAAAGTCAATACCTTCAGGTCATAAATACAAACTCTGGAACAGCCGATACATACGGCTATTCAATTGATAATAATGGTAAGCAACAAAATCTTATGTATATTTAAAATTGTCTTGGTTAATTTTACAACATATATAATTTTATAACATATATAATTTTACAACATATATAATTTTACAACACATATAATTTTACAACATATATAATTTTACAACATATATAATTTTACAACATATATAATTTTATAACATATATAATTTAATGATTACTTGTTATTTATATTTTATATTAACTTATCTATATTAAATGAACATTTTAAATTCAAATATAGTGATAATCTAATTTTTGTAATCCAACAACGATCTTGCGATAACATAAATTACATAGCTGAATAATATATTTTAGGAAAATATGCAATTTTATATATGACATTCAAATATAATATACTTTTATCGAAATAAACGTTTTGTTATTACACTGACATTTACTATATTGACATTTTTCTTAAAATAACGGCAGAAATACCGGAAAGAATAGCAGGTGGTAAATTCGCCAAACTTGGAGATTTTCCGTATATGGCGGTGGTGCATCGACTCGTAGGTAATGGAGTAATCGGACAATGTGGCGGTACCATTATATCCAAAAGATGGGTTCTTACAGCCGCCCATTGCGCAGCGAAATATCCACAAAAATTCTTTGTAGTATTTGGTATCATCGACAAATCTAACGTAGGATATGATTACCTTAATGGCCCCGGAGTGTCGATGATTACGACTCAAGCGTACATACATCCGACGTATACAAATGCTCACAATGATATTGCGTTGCTCTATATGCCAAAAGACATTCCTTTTTCGTGTAAGTTTAAATTAATATTTAAATTAATATTTCTCTTCTCTCCTTCTTTTATACATCGATATTATTTAATTATTCTACAGGAAAAGTACGTTAGAACATTAACATAACAATTTGAACAATTATTTTCATGAATGTAGAAGATTCAATTCAATACAAAAAATACATATTTTGTGCCTTTTATAATCTTTAATATTTTTATATATTTTAATATATAAGAAAAGTATTATAAATGTGTATTATACCGCAAAATTGATTCTAAGAAATAATTAAGTATTATATAAAATTTTTTTAGACACTATACAGCCTATAAAACTCGCCTATGAAGCTAACACCTTTGCAAATGAAAATGCTTTTGTAATCGGTTGGGGAAAAGAGAGTCCGTCTAGCAGAGGCTCGTCAAGACTAAAGTATGCTGCGATGACGATTATAGGAAATGATGAGTGCAAACAGTACTGGCACACCACCTTTAACCACATTTGTACGGCCTCAGGATCAGGACGAGACGCTTGTCAGGTAAAATAATTACTAGTAAATAATAATTAAAAATAATTATAAATAATTATATCAAAATTATAAATAAAAAATATGAACTTAAATTGTTTTACGCATTGATCCGTAAAAGATGACCAATAAAATTCAAAGAACTTTTTTCTTAGATTTATTATTTAATTGTTGTCTTGTTTTTAGGGTGACAGTGGCGGTCCTCTTATTGTAACGAAGGATGGCCAGGATCTTCAAATCGGTATTGTCAGTTACGGAGATGCATTTTGCCCAGGCAAATTCCCTGGCGTATTTACCAGGGTTTCTCAATATATAAATTGGATTCATGCAGTTACGAGGAATAATATCTATTAGAAGAATATCTACATATTAATAAGTTTGATATTAGTATACATATCATATTAAAAAAAAATAAGTAAAAATGTATATTAACTATGTATGTTTTTCGTAACACTGTGCTAAGAAAATATAATTATAAGAAAGGTTATGTGAAAGGTATATTTAATATAATTATTTTCGCAAACCTTACTATATAAGTTTGTTGGATTGCAGCATTAATTAATTGATAAGTTTTCAATTGTCACATCGAACAGATCCCAACAAGCGTATGACTGGGAATTTATTTCGACGAAATCAGTCAAATGAAGCAAGTTGAATCATCGTGAAAACTAATAATAAAGTTAGGCGTAAAAGAATTGGAAATCAGATATCAATAATTGCAAGAATACATCGGAGAAATCGAACAACAATACGCAAAGATTATAGGTAACGCGCAACTAACTTGTAAAAACATTCTGAAAATAATAGAGAAGGATAACACAAAATTAACAACGTTACTGACACAACTAAAAACGCTACATAAAACTACGTACAGTCAATTTATATTTCTATTTTGCAAGCTAAATTATCATGCATTTCTATGTAATAATGTTTATAATATAAGTATCAAAATATTATAATATTAATAATTTGATAGCGGGCGCGCATACACACACACAATAAAATGCATTACATAGTTGAGTTTTAGCATGAGGAATATTAATGTCTACAATAAATATACATTGAGCAAAAACTTATATCTGTCTGAAAAAAAACAGTAATAAATTGTAGAAATTAATTATATCATAATTAATGTGTTTATGACCAATTAATTATCAGAATGTTTATGACCAAAGTTTTTAAGTATCATGATGCTTAAAACAATAAGAGGAAAACACTTTCCCCTTTACTTTACCCTTATTATTATGATTCTCTTTATAATATTGATGTTTGTTGATAAACTTATTATTTTGTAGCGAATTATCGAAACAAAAAGATCGTGATCCTCATCATCGACTACGGTAAGTGCCTATTTGTAATAAGTTATAAGTTATTTTATATATCTATTTTTTTATATATCTATCTGATAAGCAATTCGAAAAAAAACTATATTATTCATTAAATATATGATAAACGCAGATAGATATATAGAATACAAGAATAATTTCAAGAAATATTTTCTTTAAAATTATACCAAAAGAACATATCACAATGAAAACTTTCAAATAACTCGATTGGTTTTTGAACATTAGAAATATTTAACATTGCTTATAATAATTAAGAAATCCTCACAAAAATAGAGAAATATTTTTTTCAATACTAAATTGTAAATTGTATCTTACGATAAAAATTGAACGTTTCTAGTTTATTAAGAGAGTATAATTTTATTTTTTCCTATCAAGGATCTACATATATATAAAAAAATCTGTTTAGATTTATATCATGGAGTTAATAAAACTGTTATTATATGGAAATCTAATACTTATCTTCCCTGTGGCTTTTTCACATAATGGAAATAAAGACACACACTATGCTGTAAGACATTCTACTGTAAATAATGATGCAGCCAATTTTCGTTTATCTGAATATGTAGTATCAAAAACATACAATATTGAACTAGAATTAGATATAGAAAGAGATATATTCTATGGAAAATGTAGAATCAACTTTGTTATCACACAAAATACACAAAATACGTACATACATTTGCTGTAAATTTGAATATAACTAATGCCATGTTAACTCATAATCGTAATACATATATAACATCTAATATTTCATATATCCATGAATTGGAAATGGTCGATTTGAATTTTTGTTTCTGTGCTTTTCCTCCTAATAATTATACTTTGAGAATAACATTTAAAGGTACTATCACTAATGACATCGGAGATTTTATCAAGATTCCATATATGAATGCGAATAGGAATAAAAAGTAAGTACAAACATATTTATTACGTTATCAAATTATTACATAATGATAATTAATTGATAATGATATACACCTTTTGATTCCAAAATACTTATTTGCCACTCTTTATTGTATATTTTAACGTAGAAATTGTTTTGGCAAACATTATTAAATCTTAAAAGGTTCCATTAAACTTCTTTAAGAATAACTACAAATTTGTCTGAATATTTATTTGTTATGAATTATAAAAATTTTATATTAATTATATTAATAAACTTCTGCAAAAATCTTCTATTAATAATATTTATTAGTATTAAAAATTTTTCAATTATCTTCTATATTAAAACATAGTCAGTATTAATTAACGATACGCAAGGATTCTATTTTTATGACATCTTATTTTAAATTATTTATCATGATCAAAATTTTGAACTGAAAATTGTTTTAAACAAATATTACCTAAACACATTCCTGAATATTTTCAGGATGTTTTTGGCTACCTGCGTTCCTTTTATTCTTTCGCCGATTTTCTATCGCTTTTGCTCTTTTATCCTCTTCTATCCTAACTTATTCTGATCTTTACTGTTTTCCCTTATTTGTCCCATAACTCTGGAATTTTTACCTGCGTTAGGGTCATAGCACAAAAAATTTAAGTAGTAAAACTTAAAAATTAAAAGTGACATACAAAGGATAGCACAAGACGTTCTGAAAACATCCAACAAATACGAATTCTTCACTTGATAAATGATCACTGAAGGCCACCTACGTAGAAAAGTATGAATATATTTTATGGCTTTGCTATAGTATAGACTTTTCTATATGTGCAGCTTTCAGTTTCAGAACATATTTTTGGATATTTTCGGGAAATCTTATACCACCTGTGTTTCATTAATTTTCTTCTATCTATTCTCTGCCTCTTTTGTCCACCAAAGGTTTGCTTTCTCCGACTTTACCATTTTCTCTCTTTTGTCTCGATTCTCGAATTTCTATCTGCATCTATCCATTCGTATTTATTCTTCGAAATATATTTTATGGAATATTTTAAGGGGACATGTACGTAGAATTTCTCTAAAAATAATATCTTAAACAATTATATGGAATTAATATTCCATACAGTCAGATTAAATAATTAAATTCCAAACGATACAAAGCCCAAAATGAGAATGTAAAACATCCGTAACATATCTTTTTGTCTTCCACAGAGATGTCTTTAAGACATCTTATTCGATTTTAACTTTGTATATTCAAGATGTTAGCATAAACGCGCAATTCTACTTGAAAAATTTTATTTATGACAAAGATATTCTGAATAATTTTTACTTCTTAAATAACGAGATCGCATTGAATCTACAGAACATATTGATTTTTTAAACAAAATGTACAGTTACCGGACATCCGATACCTTGTAGAATTAACCTCTCTTTAGATATTTCTTTTTTAGTCCAATTTCAGATGTTCGAGTTATCTATAACATATTATTTTATATTTTATTTATAGAAAACAGAGATAATTCCTATCTTAATTTTGCAACAAACAATTTTTATTCATTTTTAACTAATTATTAATTTATATAAAATTCTTATAATACCTTTTATTGATATTTTTTTTAGAAAATTTTTTTCTAGAAATTATAATAAATAAAAAAAATGACTATTTTTACAATTTTCATTTTTCGTACTGCATAGAAAATTCAACCGTTGAAACTCGAAGCAGAATAGAGTTATATCTGTTATCTCTCTTTACGCTTTTCCTTTCCTTGTCTTTTTCATTTGTGTAGGATTGCACTTTCACGCCTACAAGCCAGATGCGAATTCGAGCCCCACACCAGCGATTTTCCCCTTCCACTTACGCACACAGAGACACTGCTGCAAGCATACAACTGGTGCGACAAATCACTAGGGGGGAGATGGGGCATCTCTGCGCATGCGTACAAAGCGAATCGTCGGCTCGAGCATGCCGTTTAGCGATCACGCGAGTTATTCCGGTGAAATTCACGGAATAGTGAGCGTCGTTCGTGTCTTAGAAGTCGCGTTTGAGAAATCGCGTTTAGAAAGTGAGATTAGGCGGAATATAATTGCTAGTTGATTTGATATCGGTAGATAGTTTATATCAGATTTGTGTTATTTATTCTCGAAGAAGATGTCGAGGAAGTTCAACGAATCAAAAATGGGGGGTGAAAACATCCGAGGAAACGAGAACAAGAGTTATTTCCGTAAGTATTTTCACAGTTCTGTGGCACATCGTATGTGATTTCAGCACAGCTTTCCGTCTTGTATTAAGCATATCTCTTTGATATGCTTAATACAAGATACACTAGATCTAGCACTACTCTAACACTAAACATAATATTCAGGCCTGGAATTCTTAAATCTAAATCATATAAGTATACGAAAATCTATGTTGTGTTTTATTATAGAAATTGTAGAATTTTCATATGCAATATCTTTCGAGAACAAGACTTCTGTCCCATTACGATGAGATTATTACAAAAATGCCAATAACGACATTTAAATAGATATGACATGGATTTTTGGCATAATTAGAGATTGTCAAGAATCAAGAATTCCTATTTATTAAAATATGAAATGTTTCGCTATTGAAATAATTGTTATACATATTTTGTAATTTTATCATTTTGTTATTATATTCTTCTAGGTCGTAATAACATCAGAAGGAATAATGGTGAATCTAATATCGGTCCCATTAAACATTGCATATCATTTAAGAATGAAAGATTTAACAATAGGGAAATGTCGCGTAAATTGCCACTGGTGAATTCAATTAAGAATAGTTTTCTGACTGACTCGAACAGAGATACAAGACGAGTCATAATTAGTCCAAGAGATAGAGACCAAGGAGACAGAGCTTGGCAAATCACGTCTCAGAGAAGAAACCACTCTATGCCATTCTATAAGAATTTAAAAAAAGGTCAATTAGATTTTACATCGCGCCCTCTTTCTGTGATAAACTCCAATTATTATAGAATTATCATACCATATGGTTATAAATACGAGAAAGACGATGTAATAAGATCCTTAGTAAATTTTATCGCGCCTCAAATATTTGTTCCTATAATGTATAAGGTGATAGGAAAGGAAGCTAGTTTTTATGTAGACGATTATAAGAAGGCAAATGCATTGATAAACTGTGACCGCAAGATTACAATGATTGATGGATTTAAATTACAAATAAGACTAGGGCAACATAAAGGATTTCCAGTATGTGAGATTGATGACAAGTTGAAGGAACGATTAAAGCAAGCAATGGAAAAGAGATACATTCGAGAGACAAATGCTTTAGATTTGTCTAAGTTTCATCTAGATCCAGATCTTGTCTCTGATTATTTTTGTGCATTGTTTCATCCTGACATATTGATGACTGTGTTGGATATTGTAGCCGAATATATACCGAATTTGGAAGCCTTAAACTTAGAAGACAACAAATTACAGAATATCGAAAGGCTCAGCGTTTTAAGAGATAAATTCTTAAAGCTGAAGATTTTTTACATTGGTAAAAACAAAGTGAGTATAGCAGAGTATAACAGAGTGAATATGGAAATATGTATTGCGTTATGTTCCCTTTTGACGAGTCAAGTTTTACTAATTTACTAATTTACTAATTTACTAATTTACTTCTGTAGATCAGAGACATTCAGCAGCTTGATTCCATCAAGAATCTGGAACTCAGCGAATTGAAGTTAACTGGAAATCCTGTGTGCAACAAATATAAATTTCAACAAAGTGATTATATTAGGTAACGTATCGTTTGAATGTAAATTTTTTTTTTCTATAATTTAAAATTGAGAAAGATACAGAAGATAAGAGTAATACGATGATATGTTTGCGAAACGGTATATCACCCGCGATTTTGTTACATTTTGTTTTATATTTTATGTTTTTACATGTATTTTATATTAATTTTTTTAGCTAAACATCTTTAAATAATTAATTCTTTAGTAGTTTGATTTAGGTTTACCGTAGTTAAAAATATGGTTAAATTATAAATGCGTGTGTTTTTTCATTTTTTCAATTTTATTTGATAAACTATCTGATAACTATCGTTCGCAATTAATTTTCTTCAAGTTCATTCATTTCAGATAAATGATTTGCATGCTTTTCTTATCAGTTAACAAAACTTGTATTTTTTTTTTTTCAATCCATGTGGAGTTTTTTTTTCCAATTATAGTGATGTCCGAAAGCGGTTTCCAAAACTAATGCACTTAGTGAGTATCATGTATATAATTAAATATGCATATATTAAAAATGGTACATCGTGACACAAACTTTTATCATGTTCTATAGGATGGTGTTGAATTACCACGACCGATTGTTTTTGACATAGATGAAACTAAAATTCCTCCATCACAGAGAATGTTTGTTACCGATGTCGCAGCGCGAGAGATTGCGGGTGTTTTTTTGCAACAGTATTTCATGATATTTGATAGTGAGAATCGCCAAGCCTTACTTAATGCTTATGACAAAGACGCTAGCTTTAGTATGACTATAACCGATTCTTACAAGTAAGTATTATGTATTGCTATGCTCTTTGTTTTCTTTCTGAAGAATATTTGTACATGTCTCAATAATATTCGTGATATTGATTCCGATTAATTTATTTTATATTATATATAATTATTTTTGTTGCAGATTAAATGGATATTTTATGAAAAATCGGAATTTATTGAAAATAAATGACACGAACAAAAGACACAAGTTATTGAAACAGGGTAGATTACCTGTAGTTTCTCTATTATCAGAAATGCCACGAACAAGGCATTTGCTAAATACTTTTACTATGGACATCTCTCTTGTTACAGTAAGTATCTAGTTTTTATTGTTACGGATGGTATGTTGTCATATATTGTCATGGTTGATATAAAAGACGATAATATAATAGCTTATCTATTATAATTTATTTCTTATCTATTTGCAGCAAGCAATGATGTTCATTACACTAACGGGTTACTTCCAAGAGCTTAACAACAGAGATGAACCGATTCGCCACTTCAATCGGACATTTATGATCGTTCCGAAAGATGATGGATTCGGATACTGTATTCGGAATGAGCAGTTGCATATCAGTCAACCGCCTGAGGCGCAACTGAAGCAACTACGTCAGCATTTGAATCAGCCATTAAATGATCAGCAAACTCAGGAGACGTTGGCGATGGAAGTCGCAGAAGTCGCAGAAGTCGGAGAAGTCGCAGAAGTGGCGATGACAATGGAACCTACCGAGGAGATAAAACAGCAGATGACAGTAACATTAAGTCAGCAATCGACTATGAATCTGGAATGGAGCTTGAAATGTTTACGAGAAACGGAATGGAACTACGAGAATGCACTCTCCGCTTTTCAAGAACTTTATAAATGTGGACAGATACCACTAGAAGCGTTTACAAAGTAGATGTGTGAGTATATAATACCCATCATTGTGATAATAGCTAGTCAAAAAGGAGAGAACAAATTTCTTGTAGAGTCTCAAACTCCATTTCAAATTATTCCATTTATATTTAATTTTTTTTCTTTTTTTTTGCATACGTTTATCTTTTGGCATTAGAATTTGAACAAAAAGCATTTAGGTCTTGTTTCTCGTCAATTTTTTTATCTCTTTGTATAGCAACAAAATATATTTCTTAATTTTTACAAGGAAAGAAAAGTATCAGAAAAAGAAAGGAAATATATTAATATATATTGATAGTTTCTTTAAAAAAATTTTTATATATATAGATAATATTATTAAATATATTTCCGAAAGTGAGACAAATGACTGATTTTTGTTAAAGTAAAATAACAGTAATGCATATTTTATATTCTCAAGAAAGCTGTTAAAAATTATTAACAATCTCGATAGAGAAAACACGACATCGAGTTTGTTTTTTTATATTTTTAACAACTTCCAGTACTATATATTACGATATTTAATTACGATATTTAAATTAAATTACATTATAAAAGTTATTGTATAATTATTTAGTATAATTATACCATAAGTTTGTTTCTTTTTGGAATCACAAGATCATTTACAAAATAATAGAAAAAAAAGATGTTATTTAAATATATATACATTATATTAATTGTAATTGTAAGAATATGAATTTTTGGGGGTATGTGTATTATCAAATATGAATGACTGAAATCTTGAGAAATGACGTACTGAATTCTCAAAAATTATTAGTTATTAATTATTTTTATTATTTTTGTTATTCGTTTTGTTTTTTGTTTTTGTTATTGTTTTTATATCGATAGACATACAATGTATATAAATTCAAACAAAGATTATAAATGCATTTAACAATAAGATAAGTGCATTTAACAATAAGATAAGTCGCACTACTGATTAATATGGCAGAACAATATCGCATATAAGAAATATTTCTTTATAACTCTCCAATCTTCAGATTTTGCATAATATAAAATAATGAAAAAATTTCTTCTATCTGTCTATAGAGAAAAAGAAATTAATTTTGCATTAAAATTAAAATACCAATTTAGAATTATAGTAGCAGCATATCAACAAAAAATATGTTTCGATATAACAGTCACATTTGTTATAAAAATTATTTATCATATATTTTTCATGATAGATTCAAAAACATTTATCACAAACATCATAATTTCTAAAATCTTTATCAATTTAATCGATTCGAAAAATATGAAAGAATAGAAATATTATATTCCATAGCATCTTTATATTGCTAATTTGTTAATTTTTCGTATATACGCAATGACATTAAATATTACAGAAAATTTTAGATTTCTTCTTTAAAAAACATTTACAAGTGTGGTACAAAGAAAGATATCGATATTTAAAAATTATTTTAAAAAATGAAAAAAAACGTAATGAATGTTATAGAAGGGTTTTCTATGATAAAAAGGATTCTAGTTATGTTACAAAAACTAAAATATCTCTATCTTTCTTTCTAAGAAGATGATTGCTAGTCGTATTTTTAAGAATGCTATTTATATTCTCTGTACCTGTTTATAACGTCATTATATAATAGACATAAGAAGTAAATATTTATATATATAGACGCGCATTGAGTAAATTAAAAAAAACAGTATTTTTTACATATTTCAAATTTGTTTCTAAGGGATAAAGATTTATATTCTGTACTAAGGATGGGTTGTTTCATCTTTCGATAAATTTCCGCTTACTTTTACTTTTTCGTGTTCTCTTTTTCTTATTCGTAGTTTTATCTTCTAGATAAATTTATCCGAAAGTGGAATAACCGATCTTAAGTGGATTTTATCACGCGTGCAGATAAAAGTCAAATTTTATCATACATATTTAAATTTTTAAAGGTCTCGAGTATATTTTACTATGTCGAACAATTAAAAAAAAAATTGTTACATTAATATTGTAGAAAGTAATCAAACAGTTCCTCAGAATTATGTGATTTAACATGCACACATGTACAATTAAAGGTGAATAGATTTCTGTAAATTGTAGATAGCGTGAAACTTGCTTATATTATATGAGTATAAATTATTTAACATCGCGATATTCATATTATCATTATTTTTTTTATATTTTACAATATAGATTAGCCTTGTACATATCAAAGTGTATAAAACGTATGAGTATCAGTTTTTATTTCATTTAAAATGAATTGTACATTCCACATCACACGCATACATAATTGATGGAACAATGAGAAACTAGGAATATTGTATATCGGGATAATGTCCTGATTATGCTGTGAAATTGTATCCTATTTTCACTTCCTTCACGAAGTTTAAGGATACTATATGTTGGGAAGCGAACTTGTTTCAGTTCAAGTCCTAAACCATGTACATGTTGCATTAAGAAAGAGATCTTGAGTTTTTGTTGAGGAATATAGAAGTTCGTTGCTAGAACGAAATGAACTTCTATGAGACTCAACAAATGATGCAACAATTAAATATGTCACAGCTTACACCCCATAATAGATATAAAGACGTAGTTTATATCGTCAGTGGGAATAACGCGCCTATATCTCATCCATCTCTTGAATTAAGCACATTGCAGAATTCATCTTTGGTGTGAATGTGTTGTTAAACATATATTTAAATCGTATTATTTACTTATTAACACCTCGCCATTGACATCTCGCCTAATGTCATGATTATATTATCATAATTATTTCAATGATGAAAAAAGCAAAGTGAAATAATTTATACTCATATGCACGGTTTAGAAAGAGAATATAGTATTTAGGTATCTTGATATTTATATTTTTATATGCAAAATATTTAAAAAAAATCAATGTTTATACGCTTCGTAAATACAAAATGTACAAGTCACAAAGACAAATTTTATTTTTTGTGATATAAATTATTTTGTGAAGAAAAATGATGTAAATATAATTAATGTATAATAAGAATATATATTTTACACAAAATTATGTATTATATATAATATAAATGTACATATCTGTAGGTATCATATTAAGTATCATATATAATATTAAATGTTATATATTATATTTTTATGTATTTGTGTATTTTTATATATATATGGATATATTATTTACGAAAGAATATATCGATTTATATAAAAATACAAGATATCTTCTTTGAATGTGTGCGAAATTTCACATCTGCTTTCCATTATCTATAAAGAATGTTTCATCACTTTTCAGCTTAATTAATTTATCGATTTTATATATATTTATGACTTCTCGTTAGATCATACATTTCTTTCGTTAGATAAGTCTTTCTTTTATTATCTTAAAAAATTATCATTGACAAGTAATAATTGCTGAATAAAAGATGTTATATAAAAATTAAATAAATAAAACATGAAATATTTTATATAAACGATAATTTAATTATATTATTATTTAATATATTATGTAATAACGATAATACTGTACTATATTAGTGAAATACTTATATCACAATACGTAAGATAACAATTTATATTATACACATATTATTAGATCTCTAATAATTTCGAGCATAAGCATGATTTACAATTGTAATTTCTTTGTTGTATTATAAAATTTTGTCGTGATATTTACATATTCAAATCATATAAGAGTATTTTATTGTTCAATCAAGAAGAATATTTTATTTTTATTGGCACAAAAATTGTGACATTAAAACTAAAATTGACGCCAACTTCTAATCTTATAAAGTATAAAAAATTTACTACAGTGAAATAAATCAACTTTTAATCTCGTAAAAAGAAAGGAAACCTTACGACATCATATATAAGAAGTCCATTTTATAAAATATTTTCATATCAAAAAATAAATCAATTTTTAATTGATACAAAAAGTGTGATGCCAATTTGTAATTTAACAAAATAAAAGGAAAATCTTACAAAGGTGAAAAAATATTAAATTTAATGTCAACTTATAGTTGCCAATAAAGTTTAATAGATTAACGTCAATTTTTGATTGCCATTAAAATTTAATATAATTATTGCACCTGTATCTGTACGTTAGATATCAACGTTACAGCACAACTTGTAGTTAATAATTATAATTATGTACTATGAAAGATTTTATGAGTTCTATAATAATAATAATAACGTTTCATTAAATATATTTTTCCAACTAATAAATGCTAAATTTTCAAAATAGTTCAATATTGCGATATATGATATATATATATATATATAATAAATTACACACACACACACAGGATGAATTTAATGGATGTCCTAACTTTTTACCATGGGATCAGTTACCGACTGTATCCATTTTCAACTCATGATGGTAACTGCTTGGATCGAATATATTTTACAAGTATACCTCTTATGGAAAAATTGTATAATTATATTTTTTCATAAGAAAAGGATACCCGGCTGGAGGCTAACTGGCAGAGATTCTCTTGCCTATCCCGTACAAAATCCTATCTAGACTGATTGATTTCACGAATACATTCGAAACCGCTCGACTACGAGCAAAAGACTCGATTTATATCTTTCGCAGATACGAGAATCGGCGCCAACCATAAGTATCGACGGTAAATTATCAGAGAAAATTATACTATTGTAAAACTATACTATTTGTAAAATCATGTAAGTATCGATCATAATTTGTAAATAGTAAACTTTATACATTTGTATTAAAAGTCCGTAGATATGAAAATTTTCTATAACGTATAACGCTATCTAACGATTCTATAACATATAACGATATGTAATGAAATTAATATGGTTTTCTATAACGGCAGTAGATTTTTATGTAAAGTATTATTCATAAGTATTGATATAAATTTATGCAGTTGCAACGGAAAGCATAGAAAAAAATTTGAGTCTACATAAATGTTTATGAAAATAATCATATTGCTGCTGTGCTTAACTTACTTTTCTACTAATAAATTGCTTTTTAAGCTACACTGAGAATCTTTAAATTATGAGTTACTTTTCTTTAATGTATAAATTTAATTTCCTTTTGAAATTAATATTAAACAACTGAAATGAGATATCGAAATTAATATCATCTAACAACACAATTATAAATCCTCTGATTTTTTAAACTCTCAAGTTTCGTGAAAAAAAAGCAAGTTATTTTTACTTATTCATTTAAATATTTATAAGATAATCGATAAGATCTTCCAACAATTTCTGTATAATCTTCAAAATATATGTTTTATACGCTCGGAATAAAAGAAACATCATGAAAATGCTTTTATTCGACAGTTTATTACATACATTGTGCCAGTATAGAAATATTATACAAATTTGAAGATGCTTGAACAAATTACGAAACATTAGATCTATATGATCTCTCTCTTTTTCTCTTCTTTTTCAACCATATATGTACAAGAGAGCGGTGTACAATGGTTCTATATAAACACTCAAAAAGGCTTGGTCACGCATACTATGTGGATAAATTTTCATCGTTACTCCCATTAAATAAAAATCTAATAATTAATATTATGCACATATAGTTCCTTGCGCCTCCTGTCTCGTTCAAGTTAATCTTATTATCGGCAAGCATATGCAATAAAATCTTATTTATTCTAAAAGTATTGACTTGCTAACTAGGAAATTTGTCAAAATAATATGCGGTACACCGCATTCGAGATTTCTTTCAATTTGGTTTTTGAAAAGCAAAGTAAAGAATCTTGTCTTCGACATCGTCGACGTTAACGATTATTTTGAAATATCATGAAAAAATAAAATTCGAATATTCAATGACATTCTTTGAATTCGTTTCGTGTTAAAATTAAAGATCTTAGGCGTATGCGTGAACCAATTGAATCATTAAAGATATCATTAAAAACTTTAAATATAAAAATTTATCTTATACAAAAAAACAAACAGATACAAATACGTTTCATTATAAGATTCAAGACCTAATTTTCGAAATTTATTCTTTTATGTCATTTTTATTGTTTTTAATTCGCGAAATCTTCAAATGATTGGATAAAAATAAATGGAAATTACTAGCGAATTCAACAATTTTGAAATTTTCTATATATATATATATATATATATATATATATATATATATATATATATATACTACTACTATAA